CTTGCTCCAGGGTACGTGGATGCTCACGCATGACCTGTCGCTGGATGTGCGGCACTAGACCCCTGACGAACAGCAGCGCTCTGGTGTGGTGGTCGATTTCCGGCACTTGCAGGCTGAGGCGAGTGAAAGCAGCAATGTATGCGTCCAGCGACCCGCGCTGCGCTGCGGAAATTAGTCCCATACGCGATGTTTCCTCGTTATGCCGTGGTCCGTACACATCGCCAAGTGCCGCTTTCAGAGCAGGCCAGTCGGAAAACACTTGGTTAGCTTCCAATGCCGCTATCAACCAAAGACGAGCGTTTCCAGTCAAAAATCCTGCCGCGTAGTCGACCCTCTGTGCCGCATTTGGGAGCGCCAACGACCATAGGGCCATGTCCATTGCAAACGTCCATTCTTTGAATGTAGCGGAATCTCCTCCAAACACAGGCGGCTCTTTCGTAAGGCGGGTTGTTGGCTCCCACGGTTCCGAGTTCGGATGTATCGTTCGGTTTCCTTGGCTAACGCGCTGAGCGGTCTTGATATCGTTTATCAGCCGAACGACGAGTACGAGGAGCGTAAGCAGAGCGACCAGAACACCTGCCAAAAGCAGAGTAGTAACCATCCTCTGCTACCAGTGTAACAGGTTTAATCAAACTTGAAAAGTAAGAGGCCTGGTTGAGCGTGCCTCGACCAGTTATATGCAAAATGTGATAGTATACATGTGGCAATGGCGCCAATGAAGGTGCTAATAGACAGGCGTAAGACGCATGAGGTGCGAGGGAGTGTAAAGTTATAGAGAACAGGGGAAAACTGTTACAGGTTTGGTGTGAGTATGGAAGAGTGAGGGTGTACATGTGGGTGCATGGGAGAGAGACAGATTGTGTGTGTGTGTATATGTGTGTGTGTGTGTATGTGTGTATGTGTGTGTGTGTGTGTGTGTGTGTGTGTGTGTGTGTGTGTGTGTGTGTATGGTTTCGGAGTGCGGGTGGCATTGCAGTCCATCGCTGTGTCCAGTCCAATTCTGCCCCGAATGTTGCCAATGCCACAAGCTCTTCACCTGTACGCCTATGTATTCGGAAACCGTGCTGTACCGCTCACTGTCCCATTTGTGAACGCTGCTGTAAGTCGATCCGGGGCTTTGCTATCCACAACTGCAACCGATCCACCAGGCGCCCAACTGCTGATGAAAGGGACAAGTTCCAATTGCAATGTCAGAATTGCCAGAGGCGTTTCAAAAGGCGAAACGACTTATCCCGTCACCAACGCTCATGTCTCCTCTCGTCTCCGTCTCGCTCAACGAGAAACACGTGACCTACATGGCAGTGTATACCAGGACCAGGACCAGGTGTGTGTGTGTGTGTGTGTGTGTGTGTGTGTGTGTGTGTGTGTGTGTGTGTGTGTGTGTGTGTGTGTGTGCATGATTAGGCCCTTCAGGCTGCGATCCACAAAACATAGGTGTTGAGGCGTTGTTCAAGGTGTATACATTGGTGTTACTGTAGAGAAGAGCAGTTGGGGTCATTCTATAATGATAATACATCGCGCGTAATAAGACATAACAATGAAAATTGTATGCCTGTTCCGCTTCTGTCTCACATTGAGTACCGCGGTAAATAGAGTTTGTGTTACTGAAATACTTCGAAGTAGTCCTTTCCATTTGATCTTATCCATTGCGAGACATCTGGACTGACGTAGGCTATTGGCGGACTTCATCATGACGCCAGCTTGGGCAATGTCCTTGATGGATACTGTTGGCAGCATTGGGGTCATTCTTTTCAAGGAAAAATTCTCTTTAGCGATAAGCGGTTGCCAGCAAGAAGTTTTTTATAAAGAGCTTGCGAAAAACAGTGTACATATGCGGTGCTGCCATACTCAAGAGTAGACTGAATTATAGAGAGGTAGAATAGTCGCTTGCCAAAGATACTGATATTCTGTTTTGAATGCACAAATGCTCCGACTTTCTTGTTAACAGATGTACACACCGCTGCTACTTGGTCTGAAAAGGATAGATGCTTATCAACTAATATTCCTAAATAGCGGGCGGAAGCAGAGGGGGCAATGGGGGTGTCACGACAGAGAACTGCTGTACCAGGTGGCAGCTCTTTACCCGCGCGGCGAAGTATTAAAACCTGGGTCTGAGATGGATGCAACAAAAGTCCTTTCCTTTCAAGATAGCCATCGAGAGCAGCCAGGTCCTCACTCAGTCGAGTAGTTACTGTTTGACACGAATGGCTACATAGGTGTTGCAAATAATAATAATAATAATAATCTTCACTAGTTTGAGGGAAAGACACAAACGGGAAACGTCTGAAGAAAAAATTGACTGTCACCACCAGGACTCGAACCAGGGACCCTCGCTTGTAGCTAGCGATGCTCTAACCACTGAGCTATGGTGTAGTCGTCATCTCAGCAGAGACTGTTCAACATTTTCCTCAGACTTCGTAACTCACACTTCCTGTGAATCCACACAGGCGGGTGGGACGCAGCCCTCACTGTACCCACACACTTCACGTACACTCTAGCACGCGGGGAGCCCCAAGTCATAAACTCTTCACTAGTTTGAGGGAAAGACACAAACGGGAAAAGTCTGAAGAAAAAATTGACTGTCACCACCAGGACTCGAACCAGGGACCCTCGCTTGTAGCTAGCGATGCTCTAACCACTGAGCTATGGCGTAGTCGGCATCCCAGCAGAGACTGTTCAACATGTTCTTCAGACTTCGTATTTTAAACTCACACTTCCTGTGAATCCACACAGGCGGGTGGGACGCAGCCTCACTGTACCCACACACTTCACGTACACTCTAGCACGCGGGGAGCCCCAAGTCATAAAATCTTCACTAGTTTGAGGGAAAGACACAAACGGGAAAAGTATAATAATACTACGGAGCATCAGCAAATCGAATTTTCGATTTGATTAGGGGTCGTCCATAAATATCGAACTTTTTTCACAAAACGTTTCGTTATGGGGTGGGAGGGGGTTGACCAATTTCGTTTCAGAAAACATTGATTCATGTACATGGCTGTTGTATATGCATGTATGTCAACATTTTTTACGTTCTGAGGGGGAGGGAGGGAGGGGTTGAGTCTAAACTAAAATAATTCGTTTGGTGAAAAAAGTTCGATATTTACGGACGGCCCCTTATTCGAATGGCAAAAAGAAAATCAGAGAGAAAATTCGAATGAAAAAGAGGTTCAGCATAGCTGTCCAGTATTTTCGAATCGAGTTTTTTTTTAGCTTGAGCAGTTGAGGACTGGGATTTTGAGATGTGCAATGGCTGCGTTTGTTGCAGAGCAAGTCGATTTGTTGGATTCGCTTCTCTTCCTTGAGTTCGCTGAAGGTCACCTGGACCGAACGGAGTTGCTGCTGTTTCTCATTGCCTTTGGGGATGACGCGAAGCGGCGGATGCTTCATCCGATTCAGGCTATTGGCGATAGGATCTCTCTTGGAGACCCCTTGAAAAGGCGGATCTCGGTCGAGCTCCTCCGCTACCCCTTGCATATCAGGAGACCCGCGGACGAATAGCTGAGGGTGGGCCCTACACTGCCTCAGCAGAATGAGATCCATGGTAAGGTCGAACCTCAAATATTTGGCACACTTTGAGTTGCCTGCGGGGAACTCACGACGCAGATGCCGAGACAACGCCAGCAGGGCTACTGCAGTACTGGGAGCAGGAGGCATACCGGGGCTGGTAGTTGGTGACGAAGCCATGATTCCAGGATACTTGAAATGAAACAAAAAGCACACTAGTCTTGACAAAACTTTTCACAGTTCGAGAGAGAGAGGAAAGCGTCAAGAAGTCCGGTTCGACTGTGCCTTGTGCACTGACATGTACAACTACGACTACAAGTACTTCAGTCTTTAGTAAGAACTAGTACTAGCTACACTGACTGTACATGCGCAAGTGTGAGTACATGTACTATAATACTAGAGCACGCGCGGAGCATTCGAAAAGTATTCGAAAAGTATTTTCTGTTTGCGGGCATTTTTCAGTCGAACAAAGCCCTAGTTTCGACTGATTGAGGGCTTTTCGTGACGATTCTCGAATTTCACTCGAATATTCGATTTGCTGATGCTCCGTATTAACTGTTTTCATTCAGATACGTTTTGAAAGTAACAGTTAGTTGATTCAGCTCAGGCGACAGGGCCAAATACTAGGGACTTCAATTGAAAAATCAAATTCGCGAGTTTTGCATAAAACGCTAGTTTTTCTAAACCGGGAAGAATCGAGAAACAACCTGTGAAAATTTGAACCCAAAATTCCAAGGCAATCTAGAGTTATAGTCGATTGAAGATATGAAAACGGGGGAGAAAGTAGTCACAGAAGTACATGTAAATGCAAGTATGTATGGGAGCCGTGTGGTTTCCGTCCAGCACTGCACTATCTGGTGCATATGGCGATACAGGATGTGTGCATGCATGCAGTGTGCACGCATGCCGTGCGCGCCGTCACTTGCACAAGTCACACGTTTTCACCGTCACTGCTTCTACCATGTTCCATGCCAGTGTGCGCGCAGTTCACTCGATTTTTTCGTCTACCACCAGGAAATCGCCGTGGGCTGGTTTCTGTGATCATTTTCCTTCTACGGCGATAAAGCGCGAGCCTCAATGTTGTAGAATCCTCTTGGTTTAGGCTAATTCGAGGCCGCTGAACACGAAAATCGGGTGTTCCTCGCGAAGCCGAGTACGGATCTGGTCGAAATAGTACTTCGAAGTGCACCCGCGCCAAGCGCGGAAAGGTAATGACCTCAGCTACCTAAAAATAGCATCGACAAGGCCGAAAAGGCCGCGGGGGCGCGGGCGCGGGAGAAGATACTTGGGCCGCGAACTGCATCTCGTCCTCGAACTGCAGCCACGAGGCGCCCATTCACTTTGTACTACAGGCGAGCTGTGACTGCACTTTTCGCTTTTCAGTGACCGGAACTGAACTCCCTACAAATACGACTTTGTTTGCTTCGCACAGTCAGTGGCCCATGTGGCAGGGGTGACCTGTGTATCTCGCTTGCGCCCTTTACTGGCTTTAGTTTCGAGTAGTGCAATAATCATAAAATTCGTTCTTTACTTCTGTGACAACGCAAATGCTTGGAGCTCCTCAGAATGGTGACCGCTAGTCTTTTGAGAATCTCAGCCATAGGTGGTTTATCTCTGTTGACAGTGCTGTTGGCGAAGCTCTTACATACCACTGTGCACTGGTGGCTACGCTGCCACCAGCTGAAGCGGCTCGTGCCAGAACCAGCCAAATCCCACTGGCTGCGTGGCCATCAGCCACCTGCCGGACCGCATGCCAAATCAACGTACATTAGCTACACGCGAACGTGTCCGCGTATGTTTTTCTACCTTGCAGGACCTGTTGCGGAAACTGTGTGTGTACATCACCCTGATGTGATCAGTGAGGTGTTACAGCTGGATCCACCGAAAATTGAACTGTTTGGTAACCTGTTTCGTACATGGCTTGGAGACGGCCTACTCTCACTCACGGGGAAACGATATGACAGAGCGCACAAGATGATTGCGACCGGATTCAACCCAGAGATGCGACGGCAGTATGTTGGTGTGTTTAAGGAGGCGGCCAGTGTCATGCTGGATCTCTGGGAGGAGCATGGAATCGGACGCAGCATAGAAATGGGCGGATACTTCAACATGCTGACGTTCGACATGGTACTGCGCTGCACTATGGGTGCGGAGACAAATTGTCAAACTCACACGGATCCAGATGTACCTGTACTCCGCTATAGCAATGCTCTACACGACATCATCACGCTAACATTCCAACGCTTCACCCAACCATGGTTGTATCTGGACTTCGTGTTCCTGAACTCTCCTGCGGGTTGGCGCTTTAAGAAGCTCCTGACCCAGACACGCCCATTTGCTGAGCAATTGATCAACGAACGCCGTGCTTTAATGAAAGAGAAATCTGAAAGCAACGGCATAACGGCAGACTTTGACGAACATCCACATGACATGCTAGATATCTTGTTGACGTCTACTGATGAGCAAAGCATGAATCTGAGTAATGCTGACATCATGGCTCATGTGGAAACACTGCTTGCTGTCGGTCACCACACTACCTCCTATACGCTACATTGGGCAATGCACTATCTCAGCCAACATCAGCACGTACAGGAGCGGTGTCGTCAAGAAGTGCACACAGTGCTGGAGGCATGCGGTGGTATCGATGAGCTTGCATCCCAGCACCTCACCAAACTAGTCTACCTCAACCAGACTCTCCTGGAAATACTGAGAGTGACTGTTACAGGCGGAAATCTGTCAAGGGAATTCCCCAATGGCTGTACGGTTGACGGCATCACGTTCCCTGCTGGCACAAGATTCCTTATGAATGTTCTTGGTCTTCACCACAACGAGCAGGTCTGGACCGACCCCGAGACATTCGACCCGGATCGCTTTGCCCCGGGAGCTCAACCCCGGTCACGCTTTGCATTTCTACCATTCGGATATGGCCGGCACATGTGCATAGGCAAGAGCTTCACAATGGATGAGATGAAGGTGACCCTGAGTATGATTCTGGCCCGTTTTCGCCTCATGCCCGACCCCGACGCCACATTGCCCGTGTGGAAGGAGTCCATTGTTGCTCAACCGGATCCTGATGTGCGAATTCTGCTTGAAGCTGTGTAAGTGAATATGCCGACTGAGTTAAATTCTATAGAAAAGAAAAAAATTCTGATGACATTAGGTCACCCAGAATTAATTCGTTGTTTCGGGTCACCCGACCGACCGTCTTTTTTCACCCGACCGCAAAATGTTTTTTTTATAGTGCATGCAAATGTACATGACTGTACTAACACTTCCTCCCTGCCGCGATTCGCACCATATCCCTACCTGCTGCATTTCGCTCCGCTATCTTCACGTGGCTAGAGCACCCTGTAAGAAGACCATAGGTCTGTGGGACTGCCCTAGTAAAATATGAATAAATAATAATAATAATAATAATAATAATAATAATAACATGTACACACGCGCCTAATAATAGCTAGCAAGTAGCAGTCCAGACATCGACCTCAGAAGCAGCCAAATAAAATAACAGGATGAAGCGCTTGGTGACGATGTTGTCTTTCGATCCGCAATCGGTCCTGAAACAGCATCAGCTCCGCCACTGCGTCGCTCTTTGACAGACGTTTTCAAGGTGAGAGTTACTCCTCAGACTCGTTTACCAGCGAGGCCAAGGTCTGGTCCTGGAGGGGACCTGGGTCTGATGGGACAATGACTGCGCTGGATCGTCTACAGTCATGATTTGATCGACTGGCTTGATGGACAAAAGCTACTCGATATACACAAGTGTACATGTATGCACATACATGTACATGGCAGTAACCAAAATAAAAAATAAAATAAAATAAAAAATAAACCCGACCGACCGACCCTGGTACGGATGAGTGAAGTGACCCGAAACAACGAATTAATTCTAGGTGGCCTTATAGTATTTTCCCATAGAATGCATTACTCCAGTGTGAAGGTTTGTTGCTGTATCCTAAAACTTGAATGTAGCCATACCATAGCCTCTCTTCTCCATTGTCACCGATTCTCATTTGTGGCACGGATTTAAAAAGCAGAATAATGTTTCTAGTCAATTCAGTGCATTCACCCCAATGTATTTGACTTACTTTACAGCACTGATTATAATCAAAGTTTCTCACTATCCTAACATTCTCACCTTTCTTAGCTTGTCCGTAGAGATTGTTCAGTCTCAGTGACGTTGCTAGCCAGCTACATGTACGTGTACGTGTGCACGCGTCAAGCAGCCCTTGATGCAGATCTGCACACCAGCTTAGCTTTTGTCCATACCCTCGCACTTGCCCCCCCCCCCCCCACCCCCCAGCAATACCAGTCGTGACTCCTAGCCTGTTTGAAGCAAATGGCCATGGTCCACTGTCCACTACTAGAGTATTATCCTATCATTACTATCCTATCCTAGGGACTGAAAGTGACAGCGAATAAAAGTTTTAAAGGTAAATTATCGTGTCCGTTCCCGAGACAACTCATGACGGCCACTAACACCCGGTGAACTCAGCTGCAGATGTAATGCCTAACCGACGTAGTAACCGTGGGGGGGGGGGGGATACATGTATGTATACTATGTATACTTTGAAGTATGCGTGCCCGGGGTTTTCATTTTAAATACGGAACACTTTCATGCACGATCAGGTTTACTCCGGTATGGATTTGTTAACTCTAAGTTATAATGCCGCTGATTATGCATGGCGACTTCATAATGCGCAACATAATCCCACTATTCGACCAGGTTCGTGACAGGCTTTGGCAGGGCAATGTACAGAAATGTACTTCGCTGCACGTACAAGTACCTCCATTACATGTACATGTACCTCTATCAGCCGGGCTCTCAGTGATGTGAGTGTGGAGTGTGAAATCCAACTTTCGTCTCTATGTCCAATGATATACAATATAGCTCTGTGTATCTCACCCATGGGGTACATGCGAGCTGTTATTAATATTATTATTATTTGGGCTCAAATCAACTCACACTAAACCACTCTCTCTCTATCATTTACAAAACAGGTATCATGCCTATAATTATTGAATTCATGTATGCATGCATTGCTGTAAGCCCAGCTGCCTTCGTGATCTCGGCAGCTATGCCCGCGACAGAAAACAATGGAGTAACATCTGCTCAGCCATTTAGTCTAGTACTGCTCTTCTTAAATTTGACCTTTATTACAAGGCTCTTCTTTTCTTTTTCATTTCGTTCTCACACTCTCACACACACATGCTCACAGTTAATTCTACCGTCGTGAGTCCCATTCGGGACGGATACAAGAATAATAATAATAATAATAATAATAATAATAATAATAATAATAATTCAAAGGATCAGTCGGGGAAGTGAACTGCCTGAAAAGAGAAAAAAACGCCAGACCCACCAGGACTCGAACCTGGGACCCTGCTTGTCATGAGCAATGCTCTAACCACTGAGCTATGGGATCAGGCTGAACCTAGAAGGCGCTGACAAGTTTTTCACTCCAAAGGCAGCTCACAACACGTGCCACACATACTGATGGCACTTGGGTCTTTTACCCTCCCCCAGGGGACCAATCACGGTCAGTTTCTGGAAACTACCAGAGGTGAAAGAAAGTTATTAAATTTGGAAAGGATTGGGAGAACTTCAAATTCAAAGGATCAGTCGGGGAAGTGAACTGCCTGAAAAGAGAAAAAAACGCCAGACCCACCAGGACTCGAACCTGGGACCCTGCTTGTCATGAGCAATGCTCTAACCACTGAGCTATGGGACCAGGCTGAACCTAGAAGGCGCTGACAAGTTTTTCACTCCAAAGGCAGCTCACAACACGTGCCACACATACTGATGGCACTTGGGTCTTTTTCCCTCCCCCAGGGGACCAACCACGGTCAGTTTCTGGAAACTACCAGAGGTGAAAGAAAGTGATTAAATTTGGAAAGGATTGGGAGAACTTCAAATTCAAAGGATCAGTCGGGGAAGTGAACTGCCTGAAAAGAGAAAAAAACGCCAGACCCACCAGGACTTTTCAGCGTTTCAGGCAGTTCACTTCCCCGACTGATCCTTTGAATTTGAAGTTCTCCCAATCCTTTCCAAATTTAATCACTTTCTTTCACCTCTAGTAGTTTCCAGAAACTGACCGTGGTTGGTCCCCTGGGGGAGGGAAAAAGACCCAAGTGCCATCAGTATGTGTGGCACGTGTTGTGAGCTGCCTTTGGAGTGAAAAACTTGTCAGCGCCTTCTAGGTTCAGCCTGGTCCCATAGCTCAGTGGTTAGAGCATTGCTCATGACAAGGAGGGTCCCAGGTTCGAGTCCTGGTGGGTCTGGCGTTTTTTTCTCTTTTCAGGCAGTTCACTTCCCCGACTGATCCTTTGAATTTGAAGTTCTCCCAATCCTTTCCAAATAATAATAATAATAATAATTTGAAACTCGGATGTTGAGCCATAAATAAATGTGGAAGAGAAAAAGACATATGGATACGAGTTAAGAGTAACTCTCCATCACTGTAACATGATACTATATACAGTCAGAAAGTGCAATAACTAGGCACAAAACTGACAGAGTACTGAAACATTCGACGTCCTGACACCTAGCTTTAACACATCTCCGTAGCGCTAACCGACAGCCTTCCAACTTGGAAGGTTCAAGGTTATGGAAAAGACCAAAGAGGGGAAGGCAAGCGCAACGAAAACGAGTAAAAGCCACAGTCCCAACGGAACAAAGAATGTCGATTGTTACTGGACGATGACGAGACCAGTACGATATTTGACAAAGCGGTCTAACTACAATTCGAAGCAGCAAAGCAGCACACCACCCAACTTGGGTGGGTCATAAATATCAAAGATAAGTAAAGAAAGGGAAGCTTTGCGAAAACGAATTGTACAAGGCGAAAGCCAAACTCCTACAGTACTCCTCATGCATGACATTGTGATGGACTAGTTGACTACAAAACAAGTTGTTTCACACGACGTACGTTTCGCCGTATGGTTCGTGACGGCTCATCAGGTGTGCAATTTGAAACTCGGATGTTGAGCCATAAATAAATGTGGAAGAGAAAAAGACATATGGATAAGAGTTAAGAGTAACTCTCCATCACTGTAACATGATACTATATACAGTCAGAAAGTGAAATAACTAGGCACAAAACTGACAGAGTACTGAAACATTCGACGTCCTGACACCTAGCTTTAACACATCTCCGTAGCGCTAACCGACAGCCTTCCAACTTGGAAGGTTCAAGGTTATGGAAAAGACCAAAGAGGGGAAGGCAAGCGCAACGAAAACGAGCAAAAGCCACAGTCCCAACGGAACAAAGAATGTCGATTGTTACTGGTCAAATATCGTACTGGTCTCGTCATCGTCCAGTAACAATCGACATTCTTTGTTCCGTTGGGACTGTGGCTTTTGCTCGTTTTCGTTGCGCTTGCCTTCCCCTCTTTGGTCTTTTCCATAACCTTGAACCTTCCAAGTTGGAAGGCTGTCGGTTAGCGCTACGGAGATGTGTTAAAGCTAGGTGTCAGGACGTCGAATGTTTCAGTACTCTGTCAGTTTTGTGCCTAGTTATTGCACTTTCTGACTGTATATAGTATCATGTTACAGTGATGGAGAGCTACTCTTAACTCGTATCCATATGTCTTTTTCTCTTCCACAATAATAATAATAATAATAATAATAATAATAATAATAATTGCTGTCGCCCCGCTCTCAATCATAGCCCTTGACCGTCTTCAGCGAATCCAGCACAAGACGGCCAGAATTCGGCTCCGTCTCCCCCTCTTCACTCCTCTGAATCATTCAGCACTGCTCCATCGGCTCAAATGGCCGACATTGTACATGTATAGCCTTCGACACACACGCACTTGGCACATTCCACCCACCAGAACTGACCGCTGTAAAGACTCCCCACTGTACAAGTCCCTAGAATACTACTATTTGCCATTAGCCATGTCTCCCCCCTCCGCCACCCTACACAGTGGGTCCATTGGTATTAGGCATCTGTCTGTTTTGGTTTCTCCACTATAAATAAAAGAATACTACTACTACTACTACTACTACTACTACTACTACTACAACGCCCTCCCTGTTAGTACTCTTGACATTCCCTCCCGGTCTGCTTTGTTGTTGTAGAAGTTTATTTAACGTCGCACCACAAACAGGCGATTTCGCCTCCTTTGATACATGTGGACGACAGAAGGAATGAGAGAGAGAGAGGGGGGGGGGGGGACAGAAGTACGGAGAGAGGAAAGGTAGAAACAAATAAGCAAATCAAACTCAGGGCTACACCAAAGCAAAAAACGGAATGGGAACATACTATATACAAAATAGCTGCATACATATATTGCAAAACACGTTTACTATTCTTCAGTCCGCTATACCACAGAAACACACTAGCCGAAAAGCATTTAAACGGAGCCATGATGCGCTTTTCGCAGGGCACAGGACTGAAGGTGGCTGGGCTCGGAACGGAGATCAGGCGGGAGCTGGTTCCACAGGACTGCGCCGATGAACTGCATGGTCGCTCGACACGCAGGACCGGGCCAAAATGGTACTCGAACGAGGTGATGTGCTGCTCCCCGAGTGCGGTGACAAGTAACTCTCACGAAGAAGCTGGTGAAGAGGGAGCTAGCTCGGGAGAACAGACAACGACGGACAAAGATGAGGAGCTTAATGTTAATTAAACATGTCCTCCAGGGTGGTGAGGGGAGACAAGCAACAAGAAATCTACTCACTGCTGATCAACTCAATCTGCTCCTCCAGCAATCAACCTCTCCCATACTTGTAAAATTCAAAGTGACGTAAATTACTTTCCAACTGCATAACCCGCAGCCCCACCCACAGCATCTCACCTACTCATAAACTTATCTCTTATTGGCGATGGTGCCATCGTGAGAATAAAGAATTCAAAACAATTCAAACAGGCAATCGTCAGAAAACTAATACCGGATAAACAGCTAAGATCCGATTATATGCAGCATTGTTACAGAGGCAGCGATGTGTACGTTTGCAAGCAAGAGTGAGGAATTCCATACATGGATTGAGTGTACAATGGACATGTATAGGCAGATTATGTCAATACTGTGAAACGTCGTTAAGAAGAACACTGATAAGACAAACTTTCGCTCAAGAAGAACTAGAATTCAAGCGCTATTGGATTCATCACTGTGTATTCACTGGGTAAGACATAATGGATAAAAATAATTCCCGTTATTGCGAGCAAATACCGCCGGTCCCTTGTTGTTCGTCCTGAAGAGGTTCGACTGTACTGTGGAATCGTATAGCTTTGAGCTCACCTGCTCCACTACAGTTCGCAGCAAAATCCCATTGTCTTGCCCATTCTCGTTTCACAACTTGCTTAGCTGAGTATGACGGCGATCGTGCTGCCTAGCTTGCATTGATTTGATTTCATGTTGACAGTTCGTTCGTAACATCCAGGCTTGCGGTTGATTTTCACTGGAAATGGATTTAAAAATACACTGCCTGTCAAGTCGTTGTCACGTCACTGCCTGTCATCATTGCGGACTGCAACGGACCTGACAGACTGACAGCTTCTCCCAGAACAAAATGAATTACAGCATAATAATAGTTGTGCCAAAACATACTATTACTACGTGGTAGTCGCGTTTTGGACTTGAATGGTCAGATCCGCATGGATTGCTTGAGGACGTTGTCGATAGCACTACGTAATGACGTGTGTGTTAAAGGGGAAGTTAAGGCAAAAATCAAAATTTCACCAGTTGTAGTCTTCGGGGTGCTGAGTCGAATGGTCGTGGTCCGAGGAAGCTGAGACGCTCCCTTCCTACTTTAATCCCAATCGAACTCGCGCACTTCCACCGAAACTGGGTGACTGCGCCCTACTAGATGGGGATTTGTATGTAAAATGTCACTAAAAGCGCCATTTCGTTCTTATAAAAGCATGGATGACCGCGATTGGCCCATATGTTGTAGTCTTTTGGACGCTAAGTCGATTGGTTTTGGTCCGAAAAGGCTGCGATACAGCGTTCCTCCTTTATTCCCAATCGAACATGGTTGAACAAGCGGTCACGTGCTCCTGGGTGCCCAATCACCTGGTCACCACGCCAGCAGCCGACAACTTTCACACCAAGGTTCAACTCGAGTTCAACTCGAGTGACAGGACTGCACCCAAAAAAAAAAAGGTCAAACAGGCTAGTAAGTTGTACCCTGCAGGCACGGTGACCAGGTGACTGGTGTACGCAGGAGCACGTGACCGCTTGTTCAACCATGTTCGATTGGGAATAAAGGAGGAACGCTGCATCGCAGCCTTTTCGGACCAATGGCGCTTTTAGTGACATTTTGCATACAAATCCCCATCTAGTAGGGCGCAGTCACCCAGTTTCGGTGGAAGTGCGCGAGTTCGATTGGGATTCAAGCAGGAAGGGAGCGTCTCAGCTTTCTCGGACCAAGACCATTCGACTCAGCACCCCGAAGACTACAACTGGTGAAATTTTAATTTTTGCCTTAACTTCCCCTTTAACCTGGGCAATGTACCCATATTGGCCATACAGTCATCCATCTGATTCTCGCTTACCCCTTTGATTGTGACTTGGGTGTAGGGTGATATGACTGTACGATGATGTCGGGTGATACAGTAACAGAACGTTTGAGAAGTTCGCCTATGGCTTTCGTCACTGGTGTCATCGTGTGCCAGTCTCACTTCTGATTTCTAGCCTTGCTGTCATGCTTGTCAGTTGGGGTGAGCACTCACCCAAAGTAATGTTCCGAACCGATCGCCACAGTGCAGCCGCAATCTTTCTTGTCGCACAATATACCACTGCATGCGCAGCATAACGTTATACCGGAGTGGTAGACACCATGCGACATCCAGCACATGAGAACTTAGCCCCCACTACGACTTTCAAAGTAGTGAATGCTGGTTTGAGCCAGCAAAGACTCGCATATTGACCAGTTCGGAGCAAATAAGTGACCAACACTGCTTCCAATTTCGTTCTCCTTCGAAGTACCGCCTTGAGTTTGTGGTTGTAAGAAGAGAGCTTCTAGCACTTTGAAGATTAGATTCACGTAATCGTTAAGGGCAAAAGGATAGGCTTAGAACTATCGCACTCACTAGTTTGATTTTCACTAACCGACAGCGACGGGCGATATGGGTGAACTGCTGGCCATTGTCTGCGTGATCGTGTTCATCGTGGCTCAGGCGTTCCAAGGTGTTGCCATCGACTTCTTGCTGTGTTTGCAGAGTGGTAACTGGCAGCTATTGTGGCTCATAGCCGATGGCGTGTTGTTGCTGGTATGGCTGACATGGCTGGCTAGGTATCGTAGAAAAATGGCCTGGAAGGAGATCGTCAATGTACCACTGCTGGCTATCGGCTACTCCCTCTATTGCGTGCTGTGTGCTATTCCGCGACTGGCTATCTTTGTTAGCTTTATGAGGTCTGATCTGCGCAACTTGCAGCCACTGGAGAACGCCGACTGCTACCTGTCCGATTCCTCGGGGTCGTTGGAGCTGATCTTCGGCTGGGTGGACAATTTCAGTTCGAATTTCAGTTTCGCTATTAGTAGCTTCTATGCAGTCACCTTCACAACTATGCTCATAGCGCTGGTGACGTCACTGCACGCACAGCACGGCCTCAGTTCGAAGTACGCCCTGCATTACGACACATCCTCGCAGCTGTTTGCAGTGATGGACGGGATAGGCTTGCTGCAGATGCTGTTTGATTCCTTCCAACTGTACAATGACAACTACTGCTCATCGGGATTTATTTACGTCGAACATGATGTCACACTAACAACACCAAACGACTACGAATACCTGAATTCAACAGAGTTAAAGTGTCGGTATGGTGTCAGTATGGTAGAGGGGTCATTGGGTACGTTTGTCCTTGTCATCGTCCTGAGTACTTTCGTTATACCCATCCTAGGACTTTGGCAAATGAAACGTGAGAGTAGCAAGCTGAAAGCCGACGAGAAGCTGAAGCGCCAAATATGGAGTACGATTCTGAGGCGAACAACGTCGCAAGGATCACAAATGCCTGACGCACCTCGGATGCCAAAGGGGAAAAAACCGACTCAACGTCCACAAACACGGCGTGGGATTCTGAAGCGAGGTACGGAGCGCGTGAATACATGGCGACGCAAAGGACGAACAATGATCCGACGAATGGCGAAAAGAAGAGTCCACGAGGAGAAGCGCGTCTACAACAAGATGCAGCGAGATATCAAGATCCTAAGTACACTGCAATCATTGTGGGATTTCTTCATAATAAACCTGTGCAGTTTAATAATTCGATTAATAATTTGGAAGAAGTACCGTCAAAGCGTATCGGCTTTGATCGTGAAGAATATGGTCATCATCTACTTTGGCATTTTGGATTTTACGTTGACCTACTTACAGCCGTTGTACAGACGTGTTCGCGGCTTACACCGTCGACAGGAGTCCGGACAATTGCACGCGCCTGATCTACGTTGTTATGCCATGGCGACGGATGTGGAAGCCGTTCCAGAGATCCAGGCCGCGGCTCCCCGCATCCATCCCTTCAGCCAAAGGCTGGCCTCAGAACTTGACGTTCTTCGCACTGTGAGCTTCCTGGACTTGCGTAACACTGTGTGTGCAAACGAGTCAGCATCCGACACGGAAGAGACAGTTGAGCGTGAACTGAAGGAAGAGACTCCCAGGAAACGCAAGCGTAGTTCCACCACTTCGCAAGGTTTAGGTGTACTTCAATACACATCAGTGTCATTGAACAATACAGGTGACGTCAATAGCGATACTTCTGCTGATAGTGCCTGCACTGGATCAGCGGTACAGCGAAATGATGAGCAGGAGGCTGAGCTGTAGACATGTGTAGGTGAGAGTGCGAGAGATGGATCAGGCACAGGTGGCGATGCCATTGCTACTAATGCTGACGTTCCAACAACACCAATTGCTAGATGTGCTAGCGGCAGTGTGCATATCAGCAGCGTGGTATGACTTTTGTACACATACATGTATGCAGCTAAAGAAACTCGGATGGTGAGCCAATAGTATAATGTAAAGCCTGTGGACGGTTAGTCATAACTATCACAACTGTCATGTTAGTTCTAACTGGTGGACTGTTAGTAACAACTCGTAACCGATAGGTCTTTTCTCTTTACATACATAATTACATAATATTATCGTTGGAGCAACCAACTTCATAATATTATGCAGCTATTAATTTAAAGCCCGTGTTAGTAGGGCCAGCAGGTACACAACCACAGTAGGGTGTTCTACATCGTACATATTCATTGGATCTCGCAGAGAGTGATAGGACGCGTGCGTATACACAAGTGCATATCCATTCTTCATGTATGCCGTAAGACATTGAGCTAATATGGTTTATCGAAACGATCGTTATGTAGGTCTGAACCCTTCCCTCACACAATTTCATCCCATCTCTCTCTCTCGCTCGCCCTCTCTGTGTCTGTGTCTGTGTCTGTGTCTCTCTGTGTCTGTCTCTCTCTGTCTCGCTCTGTCTCTCTGTCTCTCTCTGTCTCTCTGTCTCTCTCTCTGTCTCTCTCTCTGTCTCCCTCTCTCTCTCTCTCTCTCTCTCTCTCTCTCTCTCTCTCTCTCTCTCTCTCTCTCTCTCTCTCTCTCTCTCTCTCTCTCTCTCTCTCTCTCTCTCTCTCTCTCTCTCTCTCTCTCTCTCTCTCTCTCCTCTCTCTGTCTCTCTCTGTCTGTCTGTCTCTCTCTCTCTCTCTCGCTCGCTCGCGCTCTCTCTCTCTCTCTCTCTCTCTCTCTCTCTCTTTCTCTCTTTCTCTCTCTCTCTCTCTCTCTCTCTCTCTCTCTCTCTCTCTCTCTCTCTCTCTCTCTCTCTCTCTCTCTCTCTCTCTCTCTCTCTCTCTCTCTCTCTCTCTCTCTCTCTCTCTCTCTCTCTCTCTCTCTCTCTCTCTCTCTCTCTCTCTCTCACACACACACACACACACACACACACACACACACACATGTTCTTGTCATCGCCCCTCTCTCCCTATCTCTTTTTTACCGACCTGTAACTCCTCTGACTCTTTTCTATCTGCCTCTCGTGTACACTTCTCTGTTCCTTTCGCCCTTGAAAAACACGGACGAAGATCAGATTCTTTTTGTACGACTACAGGATGAAGCATGCGATCATGCATGTGCACGTCTGCTACGAACTCAGACCTTGGTGATGTTTTGATATAGTTGAGATCTGTTGAAGCAATTCCTAGAATATTCCGCCTAGTCTTCCTCTATAATTATATCTACAATCGCCACGCAAAGTGGTCATTGGCTACCCCAGCATGTATTGCTTGGAATAAAATAAATAAATAAATATAGCTACAAAGACAACTTAATGCACAGTAAGCATTATGTCGACATGTATGTGTAAATGTTGTACGATTATCGCAAGGCACACAAGGAAGGGAAAGCGAGGATTCGTTCAGAACTGTTTTCTTGTTACAATCATCAGTGAATCTACGTAACAATGGAATGGGAACTACTTGAACTAATCTTATATGGACAAATAAAAGTGAAAGAAGGTGAAAAAGAGCGTAACAAAAAAGGTGATAATACTACATCTATTCAGTGGGGGGCAAGCTCAGCAGGTAAGAACAATGCATATGTGAATCATCAGCATCAGCAAAACAAAGAAAGAACCTGAACAGACGGAAGGAAGTGTGAACGGAGGGGGGGGGGGGCAATCATACTCACAACACTTGCACCATACACTACGTAAACAATTTGAGGGTGACAACACCTTCCTTCTGTACACACAACACTGGCTTGTACAAGTGAATGAACAATTTACTTGCGAGCACGAGCAGCCTGGCAAACTGGCTTTTTTGGATGTGCAAGTCGAGAAGACTGATACTTGTACCCTCACCTCTGTCTACCGCAAGCCAACCTTCACAGGAGAGTATAGTTTATGATTCATACTGTTCCACACAATACAAATAATTGAATCTTGTTCGCAACCTTGTCGATCGCGCCAAGCGCATTTGCTCTGAGAGCAAACTGTCGGCAGAGTTGGACTTCCTCAAATCAATTTTCATTAAGAACGGTTATACAGATCATGTGCTCAACAAAATACTCCATGCCACGGTGAATGACAAAGAACCGACCGTTGGTCCAGATAGGTGCCCTATCTATTTGTGTCTGCCCTGGAAAGGTCAAGAATCTATTTATGTTTGCCGAGAGTTGAGAGCTCTGGTGCGGAAGACCTACTACGCTGTCAAATTTCGCCCAGTCTTCACAACGATGCGTGCGTTTCGGGTGTTGAAGGATGTCCTACCAACCAACCAACTTAGCCATCTGGTTTACCAGTTTGAATGCCGGCTATGTGGCAGCCGGTATGTTGGTAGGACTGTTCAACACCTGTACACACGCATCAAACAACACGTACTATTGAAGATTCTACCGGAATCCCAGCGCTCTACGCGACCTAGACGCGGCCGGCCTAGAAAGAATCCAGTGCAGCCTCCAATGCAGACTTCGGAATCGACTGACAGCATTTCGACTCCACCCATGTCTACATCAGCTCCTCAGCACAGTGGGTGTGACAGGCCGAGGAACGTTCCTTTGCCAGTGGTGTCCCCTACACTCGTGTTGCGATCAGAACCGTCAACTATTAGAGCACCTGGCGTGGAACCATCCATGGTGGATGTGGCAGATACACAGTCAACATGCAATGATCTGATACCAACGGCCGGCTCGTCACAGAAAACCTCGGTACCAGTGCCAGTGGCTACCAGCTCCATGTGTTTACGACCAAGTCGTACAGCTGTGGACTACACGGTTTTCTTCAGTGGTGGTGGCGCGCGGGCTACGGGGCCGGTTGGAGTAGCAACCGGAAGCGAGCACGGAGGTCAACGAACAAAGAGGAGGATGCGGAGCATGATGATGAGTCGGTGGAGCAGGGAGGAGGTGACCAGGTGCTAACACGGAGGTCGGTGGATGGGGAAGAAGAGGAGGAGCGTTCAGATGAGTCAGTTGTAGAAGTTGATATCGAGGATGAAGCGGTTGGCGATGAGGCTGGTGAGGTGGGGTGTGATTGTGACCTGGAGTTGGATGTGAAGAAATCGGCAGTTTACAGGCATTTGGTGGGTCATCCTGATTGTTGTCATTCGTACTCGGATTCTTCTTTCACTGTGTTGTGTCGTGCGAGTCATACTCATATTATGCAGCTTAAAGTTTTAGAGGCAATCTTCATTCACTTGTACAAGCCTGTGTTGTGTGTACAGAAGGAAAGTATTATCACCCTCAAATTGTTTACGTAGTGTATGGTGCGAGTGTTGTGAGTATGATTGTCCCCCCCCCCTCCGTTCACACTTCCTTCCGTCTGTTCTTTCTTTGTTTTGCTGATGCTGATGATTCACATTATGCATTGTTCTTACCTGCTGAGCTACTGTTGTAGTGCTAAAGAATGCAGTAGTGCAGCGGGAGCGCTGCTACTAGATGTTGCAAATAATAATAATATAGTTACTGTTTTCATTCAGATACAGTACTTTTTGAAAGTTTATAGTTGATTCAGGCGAGAGGGAGGGAGAAATACGACTTTGGTTGCTTCGCACAGTGGCCCATGTGGCAGGGGTGACGTGTGTGTCTCGCTTGCACCCCTTTAGTTTCGAGTAGTGCAATGATCATAAAATTCGCTCTTTACTTCTGTGACAACGCAAATGCTTGGAGCTCCTCAGAATGGTGACCGCTAGTCATTTGAGAATCTCAGCCATAGGTGGTTTATCGCTGTTGACAGTGTTGTTGGCGAAGCTCTTACACACCACTGTGCACTGGTGGCTACGCTGCCGCCAGCTGAAGCGGCTCGTGCCAGAACCAGCCAAATCCCACTGGCTGTGTGGCCACCAGCCACCTGCCGGACCGGATGCCAAATCAACGTACATTAGCTACAAGCGAACGTGTCCGCGTATGTTTTTCAAACTTGCAGGACCTGTTGCGGAAACGGTGTGTGCACATCACCCTGATGTGATCAGTGAGGTGTTACAGCTGGATCCACCGAAAATTGATTTGTTTGGGAACCTGTTTCGTACATGGCTTGGAGACGACCTACTCTCACTCACGGGGAAACGAGATGCGACGGCAGTATGTTGATGTGTTTAAGGAGGCGGCCAGTGTCATGCTGGATATCTGGGAGGAGCATGGAATCGGACGCAGCATGGAAATGGGCGGATACTTCAACATGCTGACGTTCGACATGGTACTGCGCTGCACTATGGGTGCGGAGACAAATTGTCAAACTCACACGGATCCAGATGTACCTGTACTCCGCTATAGCAATGCTCTACACGACATCATCACGCTAACATTCCAACGCTTCACCCAACCATGGTTGTATCTGGACTTCGTGTTCCTGAACTCTCCCGCGGGTTGGCGCTTTAAGAAGCTCCTGACCCAGACACGCCCATTTGCTGAGCAATTGATCAACGAACGCCGTGCTTTAATGAAAGAGAAATCTGAAAGCAACGGCATAACGGCAGACTTTGACGAACATCCACATGACATGCTAGATATCTTGTTGACGTCTACTGATGAGCAAAGCATGAATCTGAGTAATGCTGACATCATGGCTCATGTGGAAACACTGCTTGCTGTCGGTCACCACACTACCTCCTATACGCTACATTGGGCAATGCACTATCTCAGCCAACATCAGCACGTACAGGAGCGGTGTCGTCAAGAAGTGCACACAGTGCTGGAGGCATGCGGTGGTATCGATGAGCTTGCATCCCAGCACCTCACCAAACTAGTCTACCTCAACCAGACTCTCCTGGAAATACTGAGAGTGACTGTTACAGGCGGAAATCTGTCAAGGGAATTCCCCAATGGCTGTACGGTTGACGGCATCACGTTCCCTGCTGGCACAAGATTCCTTGTGAATGTTCTTGGTCTTCACCACAACGAGCAGGTCTGGACCGACCCCGAGACATTCGACCCGGACCGCTTTGCCCCGGGAGCTCAACCCCGGTCACGCTTTGCATTTCTACCATTCGGATATGGCCGGCACATGTGCATAGTTTCCTCTGAGACAAAAATGCGATAATACTCATAAAAAGGACACACTTCAGGCTCATTACAAACATCTTGAAAGTTTTGTCTTCACAAGTATACTTTCAAGCCTTCTCGTCAGGTGAAATACAGGCAAGGGAAAAGGAACAGGAACAGTGGATTAAATACAGTAAGAAGGTGGTAAAACAGCGCAAAAAAAGAAAGAAAGAAGATAGCTAAAGTAAACAGCGAAAATTGCAATAATGACACAAAGGTGCAAATGCGAGAAAACTCAATAAGCGTGACATGTAGTGCGACAACAAGAGACAACCACTGGACATACATGTAACTAACGAGGTTTTTGACGACCTACCTAACAGCCTAAGTGTGAATTTGATTTGTTTCTGCTTGCAAAGGTTGGGTTTCTTTGTGTGGATGTATACAGCTTCCAAAACATTCAGCAATCTAGCACTGCGTACACGTGACACAATCGAAAAACAATCATCTGAATACACAGCACGACAATCAGGATGCTCAAACAAATGACTAGCAATGGACGACTCATACTTATCAGAACTAACATCAGAACAATCAGCATGTGCGGTGGACACATCCGATTTCACATGGCTAGTCGAGTGGACCCTAGCCGTTGCCTCTGTCTGTACTTTAGTCGCAGCCATTGCCGCCGTTGCCGATCTTGTCATTCTTCTGGTTGATGCGGTTCCTGTCACTGCCACGCCAGTAGGTGTCTTGTCCGGTTGTTTTTCTGGTGGTCTAGTTAATTGTGAGGTGACGTTGCTTGGTGTTGATGCCGCTGCGTTGGACCATCTTGTACCAGGATGATTCTTTGCTGGACGTCCCCTCCGTGGTCGAGTGGATCGTGCGTGTTGTGGAATAAGGTGTAGCGGTGCGTGTTGTCGGATGCGTGCGTCCAGATGTTGAAGAGTCCTACCTACATATCGGCTCTCACATTGCCGACACTCGAAGTGATAAATCAACTTGGATAATTGGCCTGTAGGTAGGACGTCCTTCCTCACCGTGAACGCACACGTACGCACCGTGGAGTAGATGAAGCGAATATGAACATTATGGTAATTGGACTCCACGGCAGACTTAACCCGACGCTGAACCATACGTGATACTGACTCGCCCTTCCACGGTAAACATAGGTATACTGGATTAGTGGAAACTTCAGCATTCTTCTTTGGACTGGTCTCAGTTACACACTTCACAATAACAGACTCGGGGTATCCATTGAGACGAAAAAGCGCACGTAACTTCTCCAACTTCTGCTCCAACCTTGAAGACGAACAAAGGCGACGTGCACGATCCACCAAATTACGCAACAAATTGATCTTATACAGTGTCGCGCAAAACGAATCCCAAACAATGTACAAGCCAGTGAACGTAGGCTTGCGATAGACCGACGTGACAACACCACCATCAATTGACTTCTCAACGAGCACGTCAAGAAAAGGTAGACGATCTGACTCCTCAAATTCACACGTGAAATCCAACATACCATCAACAACCTTCCTCAGCAGATCACGAAATTTGAGGCACTGAGCCTCAGACTGAAAATACGAGAAAGAATCATCGACAAATCTCACATACAATGGGGGCATCAAACTAACCGGAATCTGACATTCGTAATAACCAACAAATATATTTGCCAAAACAGGACCAAGGGGCGAACCCATAGCAACACCATCAATCTGTCGATACATGACACCATCAAAGGAAAACTCCACACCTGACGTTACCAAGCGGATCATTTCGCGGAACGAATCTTCACGTAACTCGCCAGGCGGACATAGTGAGCGATGATATAGCGTTTCGCAGCAAATATCAATGACTTTATCCAAAGGGACATTTGTGAACAGACTAACAACATCGTAAGAGTACATAACATAGGTATCGGGGAAGGAGTGATCGCGCAGAATATCGACAAATTGAAAACTATCGCGAACTACATACCGACTGTATAATTCTAAAATGGGTTGCAACATTCTACACAGCCAGCGAGAAATCTTATACTGGGGAGAACCTAACATAGAAAGGATGGGCCGGACAGGACAATCCCTCTTATGAATCTTCGGTAAGCTATACATTCTAGGGCGAGTTGGATTTCACGTGTGAATTTGAGGAGTCAGATCGTCTACCTTTTCTTGACGTGCTCGTTGAGAAGTCAATTGATGGTGGTGTTGTCACGTCGGTCTATCGCAAGCCTACGTTCACTGGCTTGTACATTGTTTGGGATTCGTTTTGCGCGACACTGTATAAGATCAATTTGTTGCGTAATTTGGTGGATCGTGCACGTCGCCTTTGTTCGTCTTCAAGGTTGGAGCAGGAGTTGGAGAAGTTACGTGCGCTTTTTCGTCTCAATGGATACCCCGAGTCTGTTATTGTGAAGTATGTAACTGAGACCAGTCGAAAGAAGAATGCTGAAGTTTCCACTAATCCTGTATACCTATGTTTACCGTGGAAGGGCGAGTCAGTATCACGTATGGTTCAGCGTCGGGTTAAGTCTGCCGTGGAGTCCAATTACCATAATGTTCATATTCGCTTCATCTACTCCACGGTGCGTACGTGTGCGTTCACGGTGAGGAAGGACGTCCTACCTACAGGCCAATTATCCAAGTTGATTTATCACTTCAAGTGTCGGCAATGTGAGAGCCGATATGTAGGTAGGACTCTTCAACATCTGGACGCACGCATCCGACAACACGCACCGCTACACCTTATTCCACAACACGCACGATCCACTCGACCACGGAGGGGACGTCCAGCAAAGAATCATCCTGGTACAAGATGGTCCAACGCAGCGGCATCAACACCAAGCAACGCCACCTCACAATTAACTAGACCACCAGAAAAACAACCGGACAAGACACCTACTGGCGTGGCAGTGACAGGAACCGCATCAACCAGAAGAATGACAAGATCGGCAACGGCGGCAATGGCTGCGACTAAAGTACAGACAGAGGCAACGGCTAGGGTCCACTCGACTAGCCATGTGAAATCGGATGTGTCCACCGCACATGCTGATTGTTCTGATGTTAGTTCTGATAAGTATGAGTCGCCCATTGCTAGTCATTTGTTTGAGCATCCTGATTGTCGTGCTGTGTATTCAGATGATTGTTTTTCGATTGTGTCACGTGTACGCAGTGCTAGATTGCTGAATGTTTTGGAAGCTGTATACATCCACACCAAGAAACCCAACCTTTGCAAGCAGAAACAAATCAAATTCACACTTAGGCTGTTAGGTAGGTCGTCAAAAACCTCGTTAGTTACATGTATGTCCAGTGGTTGTCTCTTGTTGTCGCACTACATGTCACGCTTAGTGAGTTTTCTCGCATTTGCACCTTTGTGTCATTATTGCAATTTTCGCTGTTTACTTTAGCTATCTTCTTTCTTTCTTTTTTTGCGCTGTTTTACCACCTTCTTACTGTATTTAATCCACTGTTCCTGTTCCTTTTCCCTTGCCTGTATTTCACCTGACGAGAAGGCTTGAAAGTATACTTGTGAAGACAAAAACTTTCAAGATGTTTGTAATGAGCCTGAAGTGTGTCCTTTTTATGAGTATTATCACATGTGCATAGGCAAGAGCTTCACAATGGATGAGATGAAGGTGACCCTGAGTATAATTCTGGCCCGCTTTCGCCTCATGCCCGACCCCGACGCTACATTGCCCGTGTGGAAGGAGTCCATTGTTGCTCAACCGGATCCTGATGTGCGAATTCTGCTTGAAACTGTGTAAGTCAATATGCCAACTGAGTTCAATTCTATAGAAAAGAAAAAAATTCTGATGACATTATGGTATTTTCCCATAGCATGCATTACTCCGTTGTGAAGGTTTGTTGCTGTATCCTAACACTTGAATGTAGCCATACCATAGCCTCTCTTCTCCTTTGTCACCTACATTTTGTATTCTCATTAGGCCTTTGCGGATAAGGCCGGCAGAAAAAGTGGCAGAATTCGGTACTTTTTCTGGTAAGTTTCAAGCATGTTTGGTATGTGGATAAAGAAATGGAGCAGAATTCGAGGACTTGCCTGCCATAAGGTTTGTATGGTTCTGCCAATTTCACTGCTTTTCGAGCAGAATCTGCCACCTTTTCAAGCATTATCCGCCAATGCCTAATTCTCATCCGTGGCACGGATTTATAAAGCAGATTGTTCTAGTCAATTCAGTGCATTCACTCCAATTTATTTGCCTTAATTTACCTCACTGATTATAGTCAAGGTTTCTCACTATCCTAACATTCCCACCTTTCTTAGGCCGCGGTCACACCGAGCTCGATTCAGCCGTTCAGCCGAAAAAAGCGCTTGTTTACGTCACTATTACCATGGAAATGGCTGAAAAATGTCCAACAAGCGACTTTCAGCCGTGGCTGACTCTCAGCCGTTTTTTTCCGGCTTGTTTCAGCCACAGCTTGTACAAGCGGCTGAAAGCCGAAATTCAAAAAATAATTTGAGTGCGCTTGGAGCACACCATGTAGCTAGTTGACATGATGAACTGATATTGATGTTCTTTCTTGTGTGCGTGGAACCGTGCTATCCCTGCGCCTTTGGTTTTGACCGTGAGTCTGTCTATCCAACTACACTTTATTCAGTTTGATTTGGATTTTGCCCGACGACCATGGATTTCTGCCGCTGTGCCTCTAGACTGCTGCGTAGATTGTTGGAGCTGTGGTTTGAGGCCAAGACAAGGCACCACACTCACGACCGAATTCATGAAGAAAGCCGGGTACGAAGAAGAGAGTGGATTGCAACTGAGTTGAAGAACGGCAACCGGCGGGGCAGAAAGCTCGACATCAGGAAACACCACCCGAACCATCGCGTCCATGCACACCGAACAAATAAAAAGAGCGCAACTTCGCAATTCAGAATCCGGGCTTCCTTTGCTTCTTCATCAAAACTGAACACAAGAACAAGTACAGTTTTAGATCGCGAACGTTCTGCTTTCCGGTTTCTTGCAAACATTGGTGTGCTTCGAGATATTCAAAATTAAATTTTGGCGGGTAAGAAAAGCAAGCCATTCAAGCTTTGCAGTCAAGGTCTGGTGTGACCGCGTCACAGGGACCACGCAAGCCTGCTGAGCGCCAGCGATAACAAGCCCAAAGTGGCTTGTTTCGGTGTGACCGGGGCCTAAGCTACTCTGTAGAGATTGTTCAGTCTCAGTGACGTTGTTAGCCAGCTACACGTACATGTACCGGTACATGTACATGTACATGTACGTGTACGTGTACATGTACGTGTACGTGTAGGTGTGCACGCGTAAAGCAGCCCTTGATGCAGATCTGCACACCAGCTTAGCTTTTGTCCATACCCTCGCCCTCGCCCTCGCCCCCTCCTCCCCCCCCCCCCCCCCAGCAATACCAGTCGTGACTCCTGTTTGAAGCAAATGGCCATGGTCCACTGTCCACTATCCATTATCATCATCATTACTATCCTATCCTAGAGATTGAAAGAAACATAACGAATAAAAGGTTTAAAGGTAAATCATCGTGTCCGTTCCCGAGAGAACTCATGACGGCCACTAACACCAAGTGAACTCAGCTGCAGATGTAATGCTTAACCGGCGTAGTGACCGTGGGGGGAGGGATATGTATAACTACTATGTATACTTTGAAGTATGCGTGCCCGGGGTTTTCATTTTAAATACGGAACACTTTCATGCACGATCAGGTTTACTCCGGTATGGATTTGTTAACTCTAAGTTATAATGCCGCTGATTATGCATGGCAACTTCATAATGCGCAACATAATCCCACTATTCGACCAGGTTCGTGACAGGCTTTGGCAGGGCAATGTACAGAAATGTACTTCGCTGCACGTACAAGTACCTCCATTACATGTACATGTACCTCTATCAGCCGGGCTCTCAGTGATGTGAGTGTGGAGTGTGAAATCCAACTTTCGTCACTATCTCCAATGATATCAATGTAGCTCTGTGTATCTTACCCATGGGGTACATGCGAGCTGTTATTAATATTATTATTATTTGGGCTCAAATCAACTCACACTAAACCACTCTCTCTCTCATTTACAAAACACGTATCATGCCTATAATTATTGAATTCATGTATGCATGCATTGCTGTAAGCCCAGCTGCCTTCGTGATCTCGGCAGCTATGCCCGCGACAGAAAACAATGGAGTAACATCTGCTCAGTCATTTAGTCTAGTACTGCTCTTCTTAAAGTTGATCTTTATTACAAGGCTCTTCTTTTCCTTTTCAATTCGTTCTCCCACTCTCACACACACATGCTCACAGTTATTCTACCGTCGTGAGTCCCATTCGGGACGGATACGAGAATAATAATAATAATAATTGCTGTCACCCCGCTCTCAATCATAGTCCTTGACCGTCTTGAGCGAATCCAGCGCAAGGCGGCTAGAATTTGGCTCCGTCTCCCCCTCTTCACTCCTCTGAATCATGCTGAATCATACTGCTCCATCGGCTCAAATGGCCGACATTGTACATGTATAGCCTTCGACACACACGCACTTGGCACATTCCACCCACCAGAATTGACCGCTGTAAAGACTCCCCACTGTACAAGTCCCTAGAATACTACTATTTGCCATTAGCCATGTCTCCCCCCTCCGCCACCCTACACAGTGGGTCCATTGTTATTAGGAATCTGTCTGTTTTGGTTTCTCCACTAGAAATAAAAGAATACTACTACTACTACAACGCCCTCCCTGTTAGTACTCTTGATATTCCCTCCCGGTCTGCTTTGTTGTTGTAGAAGTTTATTTAACGTCGCACCACAAACAGGCGATTTCGCCTCCTTTGATACATGTGGACGACAGAAGGAAGGAGAGAGGGGGGGGACAGAAGTACGGAGAGAGGAAGGGTAGAAACAAGTAAGCAAATCAACCTCAGGGCTACACCCAAGCAAAAAACGGAATGGGAACATACTTATTATACAAAATAGCTCCATACATATATTGCAAAACACGTTTACTATTCTTCAGTCCGCTATACCACAGAAACACACTAGCCGAAAAGCATTTAAACGGAGCCATGATGCGCTTTTCGCAGGGCACAGAACTGAAGGTGGCTGGGCTCGGAACGGAGATCAGGCGGGAGCTGGTTCCACAGGACTGCGCCGATGAACTGCATGGTCGCTCGACCCGCAGGACTGGGCCAAAATGGTACTCGAACGAGGTGATGTGCTGCTCCCCCAGTGCGGTGACAAGTAACTCTCACGAAGAAGCTGGTGAAGAGGGAGCTAGCTCGGGAGGACAGACAACGACGGACAAAGATGAGGAGCTTAATGTCAAACATGTCCTCCAGGGTGGTGAGGGGAGACAAGCAACAAGAAATCTTCTCACTGCTGATCAACTCAATCTGCTCCTCCAGCAATCACCCTCTCCCATACTTGTGTTGAGTTCGAAACAGGACGACTGACGACACATTATCCAGACATTACAACGGGAACAGGTTAGTGGGAACGACATTTATTATACTAGTAGATGACGAGACAAGAGACCAAGACGAACGAAACGACTACATTGAAGAGTGAGAAAAGAGAGAGAGAGATCAAGTCTGAACGGCAAGATAAAGGGCCTGGGTAGCTATGGCAAATATGGGCGCGCAAGTAGCTACCCAGGCCAACGGAGCAAAAGGAGACAAAAGGTGCGTACGCAAGTGCATGCAGGCCAGCTAGAAAAGGTACGGGAGGAGGTACCTAACATACCACCCCTCCATTAAAAAAATTCCCCGTCCTCGCGGAGAGAAAAAAAAGAGAGAAAAAGATTAAAAAAAAATGACTGATGGAGAAAACACACACACACACAACGCACGGGCCTCACAAAAGTGTGGACTAAAAAATGCACTACAGAATGATCATTACAACCGTCAACGTTCCTGTATTACTCATACTATAGTGTGTACATTGCCAATAACAACGGGCCCAAACGCCCCTTCAAAACATGGCCCAAAAAATAACTATTGGAGTTCAACGAGGGACTTGAATTGTATTCTGATGACTAGTATTCTGCACGGCTAATAGAGCCTAGTTACACTTTAATATACGACATAAATAAGAGAGCGTGGCTCACCATGATCGGACCCCTAATATTAATGAAGGACACCCGCGCGCACACACACTACAAAAAAATTTCACGAAAATAAATTTGACGAAGAAGGAACGCATACAAAAAAAAGAAAGAGAGAAATGTGGCTGACCTGCATGGCTTGAACGAGAATAGACGAAGTAAGGTTGGCGTAGGAGAGACGAGGTTGATAGAGACGAGACGAGGTTGGCGTAGGAGAGACGAGGTTGATAGAGACGAGACGAGGTTGGCGTAGGAGAGACGAGACTGACATGGACGAGACGAGTTTGACAATTTGACATAGACGAGACGAATGGCGGTTGAGGACGGCTGGGCATGGGATGATCTCAGGGTCGTGGGTCGATCAATAATCGGGCGCCAATGTTGAGTTCGAAACAGGACGACTGACGACACATTATCCAGACATTACAACGGGAACAGGTTAGTGGGAACGACATTTATTATACTAGTAGACGACGAGACAAGAGACCAAGACGAACGAAACGACTACATTGAAGAGTGAGAAAAGAGAGAGAGAGATCAAGTCTGAACGGCAAGATAAAGGGCCTGGGTAGCTATGGCAAATATGGGCGCGCAAGTAGCTGCCCACTGGCCAACGGAGCAAAAGGAGACAAAAGGTGCGTACGCAAGTGTATGCAGGCCAGCTAGAAAAGGTACGGGAGGAGGTACCTAAC